TCGGGGTGTGTTGGCTTTTTTCTAACCTCCAAAAACCCTCCTACAGTCCAGCTTGAGCTCATTCCTGGATACATGGGCTACCTGACACCTAACAGGAACACTTCTTGCTTTTGCAGATGCTTCCTGTTTGGTTCCCAGCACCACGTCAATCCCGCAGGTCACAACCACCTGTGACTCCCGCTCTAGGGCACCCAAGACTGTCTCTTGGCCTCTGAGGACACCCTCACTCTTGTGCACATATTCACACAGACACACATGCACACACAATTAAAATTTTACAGATAAATTATTTTAAGAAAAACGTCCATTTAGCAAGCCCCTCCAGGCCTGTATGAAGCCTCGATGGCTTGTCGAGTTTTTTGGTGTCACGTGATCTTTATAAAGTAGGAGAGCCCTTGGTGGGTCTGAGCGACTGAGACCAGTATGTAAATCAGAGCTGTATAAGTGGTGATACAATTTAGGGGAGACGGAAGAACAATGAAACAGAGAGAGGGGTCAATCCGGTTCACCCAGGGCAAATATGGCAAGATATATGCTAAGCTGAAATCCTTAAGGAAAAAAAACTGACCGAAATCCAAATGCTATGCTAGTGAGCTTCTGGAAGGCTTTAAAGCCCGAGAAGAGCAGTATGTAGAAGATGATGAAAATGAAAAAGATTAAGCTTGTTCAGGGTGTGGTGTGGGCAGCCACGCCCCTAAGTAAGCTGTTCATTCCCCTCCAGCAGGAAATCGCTGGTACTGGCTACTGTTCACCTAGCCTGGGGCTATCACAGCAGACAGGTGGAGTTGAGAAAGTGGGAGTGGCCATGGCTACCAAGTTTGCCACCCACTGAGCTTGCTACTGAGGCAATGACCATGGCAGCAGCCTCCAGTCTGTCAGGCCAAGTGAGCAGCTGGAGGGGCAGGACCAGCTTGGCCCTGCCCCCCCACCCCCCTGCACACAGGCCTGACCAGCTGTTTAAGCCATCCGCATTAAACCTGTCAGGAGCGGAGAGATGCAGGGGAGCTTCGTGGAACCATGCTAGGAGAAGGAAGCTGGCTGGGAGAGAATGGCTGTGGTGTAGGAGAGCTACCTAAGGTGATGTCTCCCATCCAGGCCACTCTACCATCTTAGGGAAAAAAAAGTCTGTAACGGTGTCCTGGGTGGATGGCAACGGACATGCCTCAAGGTCATACGGTTCATCTCCATACCTGGCGTGGGTGGCTAACATGCCAGAACATGAGAGTAAGACCCCATTGCTGAGGATGTTAGTTCAGGATTGATGGAGGAGATCTGGAAATAAAAGGAAGAGCAGAGCGGCCTCTATGGGGACCGATTATCTTCAGATCAGGATAATGGAAGGACCCCAGGCTCTCCTGGGGATGGAGACCGTGTGTCCAGGTGCAGGGCTTGGGCTTTGTAGGGCAGAAGAGGGAACTCTGGGAGGGAGTTTATCAGTGATGTGATCTCTACGGTGTCATGAATGACGTCAGTGGAGGTTCTCGTTACTGCGCTGGCTTTCCCATTGGTCAGGTGTGCTGATCATTAGGCTGAGTCAGGGGTTTCTCATCTCTCTGAGGTTCCTTGTTTTAGGTCATTCCTGTCAAAAGACATTGCATGCTCTAGGTGCAAGACACAGAAATACAGCTGGGATTCGGCTGGAAAATCCTGCCGCACTGACTAGCTGTCACAGTGCTGGTTGTTGCTACGTAGGCTGCTGGGAGAGAATGTGTCACCAACAGTCCTGATCAGCTCTCCACCTTAGACGCTAGAGTGTCAAAATGCCAGGCAGGGTGGACCTGATGGTGCAATGGTGAGTGACGTGACTACCGTAATGAACAGCTTCTTGTTGGGAATCAAGGTCTACTCCACAGGAGAGAATTCACACAAACTACCTTAAGCCAAGATAACTGGGGAACATCTGCTATTGTTTTGTTAAATGGGTGTGATGAACCTGTCAGTCTTCCCTCTACATATTCTTGATTATACCCATCGATCATGGTCAGCCCCAATCTGTCAGGGAAAGAAGCTGCCTTTTGAAATGATGATTTCTTTCTTTTGTGGTTGTTATTTTTGTTGTTTTAGTTTGTTTGTTTGAGACAGGGTTTCTCTGTGTATAGCCCTGCTGTCCTGGAACTCACTCTGTAGACCAGGCTGGCCTTAAACTCACAGAGATCCGCCTGCCTCTGCCTCTCGAGTGCTAGGATTAAAGGTGTGTGCCACCAGCGCCCGGCCGCAATGGTGGTTTCTGAGAACTAGTGGCTGTTGCTGTGGCACGGTGGTCTGATGCTCAGCTATAGATGGGCATCTACATCAGTTCCCCCCATGGCTTAGGGAACGTTGTGGAAGAGGGAACAGGAAGAATGGAAGAGCTGGGAGGAAGAAGGGGTGGGATTGTTTTGCAGCAATTTCCTCTGAGTTGACACGGTCCATCCTGGAGGGAGCAGAGAGGCTCATGGGACATGTTTATATCATGAGATATAAACAAACCTCACAGACCCTGGAAAATTGAAACTTAGAAGACTCCCCAGGCCTCTCCTGAGGATTTAAAAACAGAAAAGTCCTGCTGAGGAAGGAGACTCTGGCATGTTGAGTTGCCCACAAGTCCTGCAGAGAGCTCCAGGGCTCCAGCTTTCATGGGCTGTCACCCACACTGGTGTGGGCTTCGGGGCGGCAGCTGCCTTTAAGTCTGAGCTCCTGCAAGTAAGCCCTCACCATACTCCTTTAAGTGACCCCAATTTGTTTTACCAGATTGGATATGGGGCTGTCATTGCTTTGATCTGATGTTAGTTTCCTACCTGAGTGAGTAGGTATTTGTTTACATCTCCCCAGAAATTGTGGCACACGACGTGTGTGTGTGTGTGTGTGTGTGTGTGTGTGTGTGTGTGTGTGTGTGTGATGGTATCCCTAGTTACTCTGTAATCATGTCAATCTGGCTTTTACCCCACCACACCGTAACACTGTTCCGGGTCAGGTCACATGCTAGGCTTGGTTTCACAGAAATAGATTGATCTATGCCAAGTGTGCCAGTAATCTCAACACTTGGCAGAGACTAGAAGATCAGGAGTTCAAGGCCAGCAGTATTTGTGAGTTCAAGGTCATTCTAAGCCTCATGAGACCGTGTCAAAACACTCTATACCCCAAACAAGGGTTAATCGTGCTTATAAGGTAATATCACAAGCTCCAAGATCTTCTGTTTGGCAAATCTCCTAGCAACAAGTGACACAATTGTCCTATCCCTTCTTGGATCTCATAAAACACCCTCTTTGTACCTCCCTTTCTGTCTGCAATAGTGTGGATCTTAAATCCCCCAGATACTCCTGGAAGGTGATGAAACCCTTGAAAGGTGAGGCCTAGTTGGGGGTTTCCAGGTTATTAAGGGACTTAGGGAGTTCTGGACACCTCCTTGACTTTTTTGGCTCCCTGGTCATGAGGTGAGCATTTTTCTTCTAGCATGTACACCTACCACGGTGGCCCCAAAGCTGTAGGGACTAGACGCCCCCAAACTGTGAGCCAGCATAATGTTTCACTTGTTATAATTACGAAAAAGTTGATGTAACACACTGAACAGTCTCTATTGTTTCCATCTCTTCTGCAAAACTTGTGACTCTCAGGGCACCTTGGAGCCTGCCCCCCCCCCTGCCCTTTTCCAGCCTGTGGCTCAGACATCCATGTGCTGGTGACTTCCAGGTACATACCTTTAGTAATCACTATCCTTGGATATCTAATGGGCACCGAAACAGCGTTTCCAGACCAGAAACCCCAAATCTGTTATTTCCTTCAAAATCAAACTCTGTCTGCTTCTTCCTTTTGATACCTCTCATTCATTCTCTCTCCACCTTTCCCTTCTGCAGTGACCTCGGGGCTTTCACACAGACAATTCCCCCAACAGGAAATCATCCTCCCTAGACATACCCTTTTCAAAAATACATATAGTATTTTTTTAAAGATTTTTTTTTTTTTTTTTTTTTTTTTTTTGGTTTTTCGAGACAGGGTTTCTCTGCATAGCTTTGCGCCTTTCCTGGAGCTCACCTCGAACTCACAGAGATCCGCCTGACTCTGCCTCCCGAGTGCTGGGATTAAAGGCGTGCGCCACCACCGCCCAGCAAGATTTATTTTTTTATGTATACAGAGGAGGGCACCAGATCTCATTACAGATGGTTGTGAGCCACCATGTGGTTGCTGGGAATTGAACTCAGGACCTCTGGAAGAGCATTCGGTGCTCATAACCTCTGAGCCATCTCTCCAGCCCCTAATATTTTTAATTTACCGAGATTTTCACATATACATACAATGTATTTTGATCGCATCCACCCCCATCCCTCTTCTCCAGCTCTCTCTGAATTTCCTCCAACCCCCCTCCCAACTTCATGTTCTCTTCTTTTTTAATAACCCACTGAGTCCAATTAGTGCTGCCCATATACACACACACTCAGCTCACCTGTCCCTTCCTCTGGGTCGCTGAGGCCTTTTCTCTGCACCTCAATTTGTCAGACTCTCACATTAGCGATATATCTTTCCCAGCATTCATTATCATCGAAATTTCTAATACATACTGCATTTGAGTGTCTTTCCCCCCTTGTGCTTGATTTTAATAAGCATGCAGTCAAAAGCCAAGTCTTGCCTGCCTCAGTCCGGGCACGGTGACGGCTCTCAAAATTATTTACTAAAAGAAATGACAGAATGCACGTAGCCGGAGAAGAGTTGTAGGAAACCGGGAAGTGGATCCCGCACACACATTTAAAGCTAAGACAGCACATAAATAAATTCAATAACTGTACCCCACATCCCAATTCGGTCTCAAACTCGCCCTGGGGACCTGAGTCACTTCCCTGTCCAAGTACTACTCATTGTCGCTCCGGGTTTCAGTCTCTCAACCCAGCTCCTCCCAGCCGGCCCTAATTCTGGCGGCAATGAAACCAAAAGGGAATTCTGTCGTCCGTAGCAAACACGTTTCCCCATAACCTGGAATGGTGGGCGGGGCATCCCTGGGGTAGAAAGGCACCCAGCCTGGCAGTCCAACTTGCAGTAGAGAGCCAGACTGGTTAGGAGTATGGCTAAAGTCAGGGTGAGAGTATCCACCGGGGAGGCCTGTGGGGCTGGCACCTGGGACAAAGTGTCTGTCAGCATCGTGGGGACCCAGGGAGAGAGTCCGTTAGTGCCTTTGGACCGTCTAGGCAAGGAGTTCACTGCGGGCGCTGTGAGTGTCTGGGGAGCGGGCAGTGGTGATGATGGAGGAGGGGGAGGGAGGGACCACCCTCGGCGTACTAAACAGCCCCTCCTAGGAAGAGGACTTCGAGGTGACGCTCCCCCAGGACGTTGGCGCTGTGCTGATGCTGCGGGTACACAAAGCACCCCCAGAGCTGCCCCTCCCGCTTGGGGCCCGCCCGCCCGACGCCTGGTTCTGCCGCTGGTTCCAGCTGGAGTGGGGGCCCGGGGCTACACTCCACTTCCCGTGCTACCAGTGGCTAGAAGGGGCGGGGGACCTGGTGCTGCAAGAGGGAGCAGGTGAGGGGGTGCCGAGGAACTGGCTGGGGCCACCTTAGGGGCACAGCAGTGTGGAGGAGGCTAGGGTTGGGGACTGGAGAGGCGAACTAGTGTGGACTCCAGGAAGGGGCAGAGGAGGAGGGGGCGGGGGCTGGTGATGCTGCAGAAGCAGGCGGCGGGCGGCCAGCCTGCTGCGGACAGAAATGTACCCGGGGTGAGGGCACTAGTGGGTTTGGCGGTAATAGGAGGGAGAATGTTTGGAGCCAGAGGTCAGGAGAGTATCCTTTCCATCCATGCCCCGACCCACAGCCAAGGTCTCCTCGGAAGACCACCACCCTAAGCTCCAGCTCCAGCGTCACGAAGAGCTGAAGGCCAGGAAGGAGATGTACAGGTGAGGAGGGAGCTAGCCATTCTTCCAGGAGGGCTCACTTCTGGCATGGGAAGCAGCCCAAATAAGGACTATCATCCAACCTGGACCGCAGGTCCAGCTGCATTAGCAACAGTGGGCACCTGCGACTCACAGGCCCTCTGCCCTTGAGGCTGAGCAGGAAGACCCTATCTATCTTAACCAGCCTTTCAGGTGACTCTGGCCCCCACTGGAGTGTGAGAACCCCTGCTCCAACAGCCGTGCCCTGTGGCTCACTCCATCTTTCTTTGCGGTTGCTGTTTTATTTCTCTTTTTTTCTCACCTGTCCATCAGTGCATCCATCCTCTCATAAACACAGGCGGAACTCCAGGCATCCCCTGGGGAACTTGGAACACATCCCTAGAAAGGAGACATCTTCAGGCAAGGGTGCTTTCTCTGTCGTCTGCTCGGGATGAAGAGTTTAGAGAGGAGAGCCACCTAAACGCTGAGCTCACAGAAGGTGGAAGTAACAAAGGAAGGAGGCTCCTGAGAAGTCAAGTCAGGTGTACTCAGGAGGACACTTTCCAAAGAGCTTGGTGCTCTTAATCTTGGTTGCTTCCCAAATCCTGGGCTGCCTGCTTTTGCCCTAGGTCTCTGGAGATCAATCAAATTCTACATTTGTCCTGAAAGCCATGAAACTAGATCTCACAGCAGTGGGGGGGGGGGCAACAACACGACACCGACACAGACACAGGTGATGCAGGGTCAGTGTAGACCCAAACAAAAGAAGGGGGAGTGTCTCAGGGAAATCATTTCATCTCTTTGATCTTTATTTTCTTCTTGTTTGGGTTGTTAGGGAAAACAAGTGAGAAATGGTTAAGAATGTAGCTAATTAGAAAACAAAACAAAAAATGCCTGGCGGTGCGCAAGCCTTTAATCCCAGCTTGGCAGAGGTAGATGAATCTGTGAGTTTGAGGCCAGCCTGGGCTACAGAGTGAGTTCCAGGACAGGCTCCAAAAGCTACACAGGGAAACCCTGTCTTGAAAAACAAACAAACAAACAAAAGAATGTATCTAATCTGACTGGGAGTGTAATTCTGTACCAGAGGCTCTGGGTTTGTTCTTCAACATTACCTTTATTATAAAAAGAAAACACTTGGGCTGAGATGTATGTAGCTCAGTTGGGAGAGTGCTTGCCTAACCACATAAAGCAGATATGGTGACACGCACCTATATTCCCAGCGTTTACGAGATGAAGGCAGGAGGACCAGAAGTTCAAGGTCACCTAGAGCTACACAGTGAATGTGAGGCTTAGTACATATGAGACCCTGCCACCCTTGGGGTGGCAGGAACCACTCAGCAACAAAAATGCTAAACCCTGCATAAATGTGTGCTGTTAGCATTATTCCTATGTCTGATCTCTCTGTCTGGGTCCTTAATATTATAACTAAAGTGAGGCTTCAACCCCCCAGCATTAGCATCTTCTGGGTACCAGTTAGGGAAGGCAAGCTCTTAGTCCCACCTCATTACCCACTGAGAACCTGCTGGTTACCAAGAGTCTCAGGTGAGTCAAGTACAGAGTTTGGTCGCCACCTAGTGGCAGTATCCTTTAATTGCAAACTGTCCTTTGATGTCCAAACTCAAATCTAAAAGCTTTTTCATTATTCAATTGTTTTTGATACTGTGAGCTGAACTCATGTTCTTTGCATTCCAAGTAAACACACATCACTGACTTATATTCCCAGTCCTTTTTAATTTTTTATGTTTATTTTTTAAAAACTTGTGCCTGGTAGTGGTGGCGCATGCCTTTAATCCCAGCACTTGGGAGGCAAAGGCAGGTGGATCTCTGAGTTCGAGGCCAGCCTGGTCTATAGAGTGAGATCCAGGACAGCCAGGGCTGTACAGAGAGACCTTGTCTCAACACCCCCCAAAGTTGCAATTACATTTTTCTTACATGTCTGTATGTGCACAACTATGATATCCATATGGAGGTCAAAGGGCGACTTGCAGGGATTGGTTCTCTCCTGCCACGTGGGACCCAGAGATTGACCCCAAGTTGCTAGACTTGATAGTAGGCAGCAATTTTTTAATATTTATTTTTCACATCTTTATTTTTATTTTTTATACTGGGGATTGAACCTAGGACCTTATGCATTCTAGGCAAGTGCTCTACTTCTGAGCCGTATTCACGATACTTTTTAAACTTTTTTTACTTAGAAAATGGGTCGCAGCTTGTTGAAACAAAATTTAATTGTTTCACCGAAAGGTCTCTGGCTGTGGCTTGCATGATTGTGGGGCTTAAAGACAACCGCCTTAGGTCAGGGCAGAGTAAACTGATACAGCTCCCCAGGCAGTGGAAGCTGGACTGCCTCTGGATGGGATGTCTGCCAACAGCAACTGACTCCCGGGGAACAGGCCAGCTCAGGACCACATCCCTTCCCAAGATGCATCTGTGTTAGGCATCAGGTACTTCAAACAGATTACAAAGCAGGTGTGTGAGCAGAACGCAGAGGTACTTACAGAAGAACGAGCAGGCGGGGAAAAGCCACGTATCCAGCCACAAACCAATGGCGATTCCCTCCCATCTCCCAGATGCTTTTCTCCTCTCCTCTCTCCTGCCCTCTCTCCTCAGCTCTTCCTCCCTGCCTTTCTCCCTCCCCCGCCCCCTGCTTTCCTGATTCCCACTCTACCTAGGTAACGGTCCCAACATTCACATCCTGTAATCCAGATACTTAAGGAACTCCACCTGTTTGGCTCAGCTCCAACCTCAAATTCCTTAAGGGGGACTCCAACTGACCCAGAAGTCTCCTGTGGGGACGTGTAGCTTCCTTACAACCCAGTGAACACAGAGGAGAGATGGGTCTCTGGAAGGTCCCTGTTGGCAGAAGGGGGCTGTCTATGGCCAGGGCCCCCTGGGGCAAGATTCTTCTGACTCAATCCAAGGGCTCCTCCCTGAAGCCTTTGCTGATCATTTACCTGTCACCTGTTCCAGCTGGAAGACCTACATTGAAGGCTGGCCTCACTGCCTCGACCAGGTGACTGTGAAAGACTTGGACCTCAATGTCAAGTACTCCGAAGTCAAGAATGCCAGATTCTACTTGAAAGTCTACTCTGCGTGAGGATGCCACACTGTCCCTTGTCCCCACCCCTATGTTCTCTTGTCTACTCAATCCCATACCTCAGTATACAGCTCGCTCAGCCCCGCTCAAGGCTCAGTTTTCCTGTGCTGTAGGACAGTGGTTTCTTAAGGGGACTGACTGCATCGGGCAGACAGGGGAGGCTCTCCTGGAGCCTTGGTCCTTCTTCCCACACTTCATGTCCCATCAGGTTCACAGAGCTGAAAATCAAAGGATTCCTGAACCGCACAGGACTCTGGAGGAGTCTGAGGGAAATGAGAAGGATGTTTCACTTCCACAAGACTCCTGCAGCAGGTGAGGCCCTGGGCCAGGATCCTAACCTCTCTCTGGGAGATCAGCACCCATCATTACCAGGAGGCTCATTAAAAATTCCCAATCCACCTTGTGACTTTGGGCGCCTCCTTGCCCTTCCTATTAGACCTTAAAGTTCCCACAGAAACTAAAGAGGGGGAAGGCAGAGGGGACCCCTGAGCCAATTCAACCATTGTCCAGATAACCGTGGTTGGGTCTATGGACACAGGACGCACAGTGGAGTTAGGCTGTGGCTACTAATAAGACTCAAAAGCACATCATTAGTGTTCCTTGGAAGATGTACTCTTTGGCTTCAGAAACGGTTAAAGGAGGAACCCACGCTAGCTTTCAGGGTGCCCTAGAAAGCTTTCATGGAGGGTGGGGAGGCTAAGTGGGCATGAACACTAAGGATGAGGCACAGGGCAGAGAGTGCTCTGGGGACAGACAGATGAAGGCCCTGAAGACAGAAGAACAGGAAACCTATAAGAGAAAGAAGTTGCTGTGGCCCAATTGGACTGAGTAAGAGAAAGAAAGTCAGGGAGCAGAAGTCACGTCCACGTTTGTGTGGACTGTGGCAGGTTGGGGGCTTTCCTAAGCACAACGCGAGGCTAGTGACTGGTGGCCAGCTGAGGGACAGTATGACTAGATTGCTCCACTGGGTGGGTTGGGGGTCCGGGGACAAGCAGGGAGATTAGCCATGGGGTTCCAGCTGACGTCAATGGGGATGGTGGCTTCATCAAGGATGTGGCTGTGTGGGAAAGGAGTGGACAGAGGGGCCAAGAGACCCCAAGGATGGAGGGTCCATGGGCCTCAGTGAGAGGAGAAGAAAGGTACTTCCCACAGAGCTTCTGGGCGCTGCCATGGACAGTCAAATAGATAAACTTGCCGTTCCTTGGGATGCCAGGAAAGGGGTGGAGGCTGAGCTGGAGGAAGATCCCACACTTACGTTGCATTTGAGGCTAGTGAGTCCTCTAGGGTGGTGTCAGGTAGACGGCATGATGATAGGCTGGGACTAGGGGTTGCTCTTTGGTGAACAGGCAGTAACCAAAGCCAAGGGATCGGGAGGCCATTGTAAGAAATAAAGAGGTCCCCAGGATGGACAAGGGGGAGCTCCATCATGCAAGCAAGGAGGAAACCTGTAGGAGCTGTGGTGACTTGTCTCCGTGTCCCCCGCCCTCCTGAAGAGTACGTGCTGGAGCACTGGCAGGAAGACGCCTTCTTTGCCTCCCAGTTTCTAAATGGCCTCAACCCGGTCCTGATCCGCCGCTGTCACAGCCTTCCAAAGAACTTCCCAGTCACCGATGAAATGGTGGCCCCAGTGCTGGGCCCTGGGACGAGTCTGCAGGCTGAGCTGGAGGTGGGACATGGTCTGCAAACTCGGCAAACCCCCTATGCTAGTTTCCCCGGGCTCATCCCCCTCCTGGAGACAGCGGGACCAACTGTGTGTTACCTGCCAAGAGCAGCCTCTCTCAAAATGCAATCCCCTGGCAATCCTGGGTCCTCGTCCTGCTGTAGAAAGCCGGGTGCAGTCCTGGCTCCCTTTTCTCCTGCAGAAGGGCTCCCTGTTCTTGGTGGATCATGGCATCCTCTCCGGAGTCCAAACCAATGTCATCAACGGAAAGCCCCAGTTCTCCGCAGCCCCAATGACCCTGTTATACCAGAGCTCAGAGGCTGGGCCCCTGCTCCCCCTCGCCATCCAGGTCTGTAAGAAGGCAGGGGGCGGGGCGGGGGATGGCAGAAGTAGAAAGGGTCCCACTGAGTGATTGACGGACATTGGCACCGCCTCCCTCCCCGCCGGCCTTACCTCCAGCTCAAACAGACTCCCGGGCCTGACAACCCCATCTTCCTGCCCAGCGATGGCAGGTGGGACTGGCTCCTGGCCAAGACCTGGGTGCGCAATGCCGAGTTTTCCGTCCACGAGGCCCTCACTCATCTGCTGCACGCGCACCTGCTGCCGGAAGTCTTCGCCCTGGCCACGCTGCGGCAGCTGCCCCGATGCCACCCTCTCTTCAAGGTCAGTGGCTCACAGCGAGTTGGCCCAAGCCAGGCGTGATGGCGCACACCTTTAATCCCAGCACTTAGAGAGCTGAGGCAGGAGGATCTCTATGAGTCTGAGACCTGCCTGGTCGACCTAGGAGAGTCCCGGAACAGCCAAGACCACTGCATGGAGAGATCCTTTCTCAAAACAAGGTGGCTCTGTCTGTATCCCAGGCTGAAACCAAGTCTGTAGACTTCTGGGCTTTATCCTGTACCCTGTGGCGCCTCTTCCTAGTGGCCTTTCCTCACTCAGGTGGCCTTACCTTTCCAGGCTTGGATGCAGGGCTCCCATTCTGACAGAAGAACACAGAGTGGAGTCTGCATCCAGGGCCTGAGACAATATCAAAGCGGAAATCCGAAAGTGTACACAACCATGGGAGGGGAAGCCTTGCCTTTCTTGGAGATGTTTTAACTTGATGACAGAAACAAATGTGTCCTGGGAAGGCTCCTCAGGCCCTGCTCTATGCTCTCCAATCCGACTGCGGCTCCCAGCACCTGGCCCTCAGAAGTAGGCTGAGGAGGACAGCCCCACATGGCCAGACCCCAGCCCTGCGTTTCATGGTGCTCTGCCTGCTCCAGGGGACAAAGAATCTCAGGAGGTTCCCAGGGTCCTCATTTGACAAAATGGGCTGGTGTTCAGAGGGGAGAAAGAGCCTGCCTGAGGACACAGGACAGGATGCTGTGGGCCCTAGCCCTCATCGCTGGGCAGGGAGCACCATCACAAATTGTACCTACTGTCCTGGCTGGCTCCTCCTGTGTGGCTCACAGGGTGGGTGGCTTTGTGGGGGCGGGCCTGGGTTTCCCAAACTTTGCCATCTCCTACCCCTTGCAGCTGCTGATCCCCCACATTCGGTACACACTGCACATCAACACACTTGCGCGTGAGCTGCTCATCGCCCCCGGGAAGGTGGTGGACAGGGTAAGCACCCCCTTTGGCGGGAGGGCATTCTTCAATTGGAAGAATATAGAGTTCTGAGGTGAGAGAGGCCCTGTTTCCTTAATGTTGCCCCCCCACAGTGCTGCTGCCTGCTTTTGAAGCAAGGTTCTGGTGCCCAGTTCTTTCCCTCAGTCCACAGGCCTTGGCACTGGAGGATTCTCTGAGCTGATAAAGAGAAACATGGAGCAGCTGGACTATTCTGCCCTGTGTCTCCCTGAAGATATTCGAGCCCGAGATGTGGGAGACATCCCAGGCTACTATTACCGGGATGATGGGATGCAGATCTGGGGGGCAATAAAGAGGTGAGGGAACCGTCCTCGGGAAGCTGCAGGGGCAGCGGAGGCAGGAAGACTGGGCGGGAGATGGGACGCTCCGGGGAGGTTTACGGTGAAGCGGGCTGACCTGCATGACACCGGACAAGGATGCTTCTCAAGGGAGGGTCAATTTGGAGTCAGGGACTGAATCCAGGTGCACCTTACAGCTTCGTCTCGGAGATAGTCAGCATCTACTACCCAAGCGATGTGTCTATTCAAGAGGACGGAGAGCTGCAGGCCTGGGTGAAGGAGATCTTCTCTGAGGGCTTCCTCAGCCGAGAAAGTTCAGGTACAGGGACCTCAGCCCTGGGGCCCAGCCCCACGCTCGGGCCTCTCTGTGAGGTCCTCGGATCCCCAGCAGCCCCGATGCCAGCCCAGCTTTCCTACAGGTGTGCCCTCCTTGTTGGATACCCGGGAAGCCCTGGTCCAGTACGTCACCATGGTGATATTCACCTGCTCAGCCAAGCACGCAGCTGTGAGTGCAGGCCAGGTAAGGTCGGGGCGACAGGCAGGCACTGCGATGGAAGGGCCAGGGTCCTGTCCTCATTGTATCCTCCCTGCCTTCAGTTTGACTCTTGCGTTTGGATGCCCAACCTGCCACCAACCATGCAGCTGCCACCACCCACTTCCAAAGGCCAGGCTCGGCCTGAGGGCTTCATAGCCACTCTCCCACCAGTCAATGCCACATGTGACGTCATCATTGCCCTTTGGATGCTAAGCAAGGAGCCCGGGGACCGAGTAAGTACAGAGCTAGGAGTCAGGCCAGGCTGGGCTGGATAGGAAAGTACGCGTTGTTTGCCCTCCCTGGGCCAAACTCAACCCTGACATCAAGACCCACCCACGCGCACCTCACTAAAAGGTGCGACCCGTGACCCTTGGTCACCTCACACTGAGGACCAGGTGTGCAAAGAGGATGATGAGAACTCACTCTCCGCAATGACAGTGACATGGGACTAAATGTGCCTTTAAATCTTCACATCAAATGGGCTAAGAGATTACAGAGCGCTGTCCCTTGGGAAAATGTTCAGGACAGGGACAGGGTTGAGGTTCAACCAACGACTGTAAGGTGACTGGATCGGGGACACACTGTGGCCATAGTCAGCTAAGGGTGGGTCGCAGCTGCTCAGGTGATGGGGACCTCGGCATCTCAACCCTGTGATTGGTCCCCAGAGGCCTCTTGGCCACTATCCAGATGAACACTTCACAGAGGATGCCCCACGCCGAAGCATAACTGCCTTCCAGAGACGGCTGGTCCAGATCTCTAGGGAAATCGGGGAGCGGAACCGAAGCCTGGCACTGCCCTACATCTACATGGACCCTCCCCTCATTGAGAACAGTGTCTCCATCTAAAATCTTGAAGAAGAGGGCCCCATGTGACATACAGACCCCTTGATCATGTCACTCCAAGCTAAGCGTCACCCAGAGAAAAAGGACTTTCAAAATATACAGGTCCTCATGTGCTTCTCCTAGATAGCCAAGCCCCATCCAACTCCCCAGTGAAACACACAAACACAGTGAATAAAATCAAAACAGACAAACCTAAACCCCTACAGAAGACAGGACCTCACAGGACAGGGACACCAAAATAACTGGAGACACCGAGGCTTCAGCTCTGATTGAGGGCTTTGCTTGTTCACTTAGTTTTGCATCTAATTAGCTTGGACCGTAACGGAAGCACAGAATCCTGTTCCACTGCCCATAGTCAGTGAGACCTCACAGTCACAGGCTCGGACAGGCTTCTCAGCCAAACAGGAAGCAGCTCAACCAAAACCTACCAAGAGGTCGATCATCACCTACAGGCTCACCCTGAAAGTGAATATAACACTCAGAAGGGGTTATTGGAAGTCAGGCAGAAAGAGAAGGATGGGGTTGAACACATGGCTCAGTGGTTAAGAGCACTGGCTGCTCTTCCAGAATACTGGAGTGGCTCACAACCGTGTGTAATTCCAGTTCTAGGGGACTGCACACCCTTCTCTAGCCTCTGAGGACACCAGGCATGCAGGCAAAATATCCATATACATAAAAATTAGGTTTGGTTTTTTTGTTTGTTTTTGTTTTTAGGAGAGACGGACATACTATCAGGGCCATTTCTAGCCCACCTCTTCTCAAAGCCCCCCAAAGTGATCTGTAAAGCAGGCCCCATTTCCAGAGAATTAGAAAGACTACATACCTCTAATACCTCGTCCTCTAGAGTCCAGCTCCACTCTGGAATCCCAGTATTTCATGTTCACTCTCCAGTTCTGGGTTTTTTGTTTGTTTTTGTTTTTTCTGGCTCAGACTCTGAACATTCATTAAAGTAACAAATGAGTCCTTTTTTAAGTCACCCAATGAATTTCATCTCTTATACTACAGGCATCAAAGTTTTGGGTCTTTGGTTGCATACATTTTTATGAAACAATACTCAAAATGTAACATATACACTTGGGTTGGATGGCCCAATGGTTCAGAGCACTTGCTGCTCTTCCAGAAGAACCAAGTTCAGTTGATTCAATTCCCAGCACCTATGTCAGGTGCAACCACCTGTTAACTCCAGCTCTAGAGGATCTGATGCCCGCTTCTGGCCTTGACAGGCACAGTACCCCTGCACACATACACACTGACCCACACATGCATCGAATATATATATTCTATCTACATGAACCCAACCATTGAATCCAATAGACCCAAGCTTTAGAACAGGTAGTGTGGTCTACCGGACAGCCTTGGTAATCCTTTGCCAAAAATGATTTAGAGTTATGCATCTCTTAAACTGTTTTGGTTTCTGTCAATAAGCAAGTCCTGGGGCTGGAGAGATAACTCGGGGATTAAGAATGGGTATGCCAGGTGGTGGTGGCGCATGCCTTTAATCCCAGCACTCGGAAGGCAGAGGCAGGCAGATCACTGTGAGTTCGAGGCCAACCTGGGCTACCAAGTGAGCTCCAGGAAAGGCGCAAAGCTACGCAGAGAAACCCTGTCTCGAAAAACAAAAAAAAAAAAAAAAAAGAGTGGGTACTGCTCCTCCAGAGGACTTGAGTTTGGCTCCCAGCCTCCACATCAGGTGGTTCATAACTGCCTGCAACCCCAGTATCAGGGGCATTTGACATCTCTGGCTTCCACAGGTATTTGCACTCACAGGTATTTGCACATGCACATACCCACATGCAGAAACACACACACCTACACAGGTCCTTGCACTCACATGCACATACCCACATGCAGGCACACACACCTACACAGGTACTTTCACTCACAGGTATTTGCACATGCACATACCCACATGCAGACATGCAGACACACACACACCTACACAGGTCCTTGCACTCACATGCACATACCCACATGCAGACATGCAGACACACACACACCTAAACAGGTACTTGCACTCACAGGTATTTGCACGTGCACATACCCACATACCTATACATACTTTAAAAAAAAAAAAAACAAAAATCAAACCTTTAAAAAGAAATAAATAATTCCTGACTACTTAAGCCAAGACAGGGTGGAACGAAACTAAGTGTCTTTGAGTATTAAGCCGTTAAACCCTGCGGAAGTCCATTCTGCTGTGGATATCGTTCTGTATAAATAAAACACTGATTGGCCACTGGCCAGGCAGGAAGTATAGGCGGGACAAGGAGAGAGGAGAATTTTGGGAAGTGGAAGGCTGAGTGGGGAGAGACACTGCCAGCCGCCGCCATGACAAGCAGCATGTGAAGACACCGGTAAGCCATGAGCCATGTGGCAAGGTATAGATTTATAGAAATGGATTAATTTAAGATGTAAGAACTAGATAGCTAGAAGCCTGAGCCATTAGACCAAACAGTTTAAATAATATACCATCTGTGTGTTTATTTTATAAGTGGGCTGTTGGACTGCCGGGGCTTGGTGGGACCTGGAGAGAAGCTCTCCAGCTACACCACTCTCCTCAGCCTTGCCGTGGGAAGAGCAAAGCTTCTGCCAACTTCCTTCCTTTGTATATTTTCGTCAGTATTCTAAGTTCTTGAAGGGAGATGTTTTACCAACACAGATGGCCAGGAACCCAAGGTGAAGTTGTGCCCAGTAAAAATCATGAGATCATCCTGGCATTTCCCAGCTGACTGTTTGGTTCATTTGGGGCCACGTGACTGAATTTGGCCAATGGACTAGGAGAGGAAGTAATGATTGTGACTTCCAAGATAAGCAGTGAGCTGAGGTGCCCCTTTCTACTGCAGGTGTGAGGCTGCCTTGCAGGCATATTGTGTGAACTCAACCTTACCTCTGTCTCTGTAAGCTTAGGAGGACAAGGTTTGTAGCTGGAGAGCTTCTCTCCGGGTCCCTCCAAGCCACGGCAGTCCCACAGCTCACTTATAAAATAAACACACAGCCGCTTATATTATTTAAACTGTTTGGCCTAATGGCTCAGGCTTCTAGCTATCTAGTTCTTACATCTTAAATTAATCCATTTCTATAAATCTATACCTTGCCACATGGCTCATGGCTTACCGGCATCTTCATATGCTGCTTGTCATGGCGGCGGCTGGCAGCGTCTCCTCCCACCTCCCTGTTCTCTCAATTCTTCTCTGTTAGTCCCACCTATACTTCCTGCCTGGCCACTGGCCAATCAGTGTTTTATTTATTGACTAATCAGAGCATTTGACATACAGACCATCTCACAGCAAAGGTTCACAGCTGTTGTGGTCAGCACAGCAGAAGTTCTCAGTAAGCACATGCTAAATGCAGAAATTAATACCAAAGTAATTCCCAAATCCCTGTAGTGAGTTTCTTAAAGGTGGGAACTATAACTTATTCAACTTTAGATGTCATATGCCTAGAAACATCCAACCAAAAAAAAAATGATTAAATGGATAGATGGTAAAAGTCTCAGGGCTGGGCCTCAAGGAGAACACTGAGCTAGAGTGACCCTTTGCATAAGATGTTTGTTAGAAGAATTCTTAATGGTTTGGATAAACAGACAGCCACCTGGTAGGGGCTGTGAGGAGAGTTCAAACCCCCATACCATCAACAGCTTGGTGGGACTTTGATGAGAGTACAGGCCTATGAGGCAGAGTGAGGGTCCCTTCTTATAGGTCTCGGGATGGAGGGAGGGGTTTTATGCAGCCAGGCTGTCTGTGATTCCCGGGGCAGTGGGGTGGAGGAAATTCCAGGCAGGAATGTCCAACACTGAGAAAGTACAGGAAGTGAGGGGAGGGACACATACTGTTGAGGTGTACTCACTAAATAAGAAGGGGGAGGGATGTGTCACCACCGCCACCAACAGCCCTTGGACATCCCAAGAAGTCTGGCAAGCTGAGTTCTGTAAGTTTCCTTGGGGAAGTGAGAATGAATGGTCCTCGTCATCCTCTGGAATCTGGGCACCTGACTATCATACTCATGGGCAGGCTCTTACTAGGGGACTGCCTTTCCTCCATAGCATCCCTCAGAAAGAGGCCACAGGTGGGCGTGGCCACATCAGCCCATGCCGTCAAACCTAACCTGGGCACATGGATGAACTTGTGAACTGGAGCGATACTGTGCTCCAATAATAAATAGTTTGTTTTCATGTATATCTTTTAAAGGATATATGTTTTTATGTATATCTTTTAAAGGACAGTTTCTCTGTGTTGACCTGGCTGTCCTGGAACTCGCTGTCCACCTGCCTCTGCCTCCCAAGTGCTGGGATTAAAGGCGTGCGCCACCACCGCCTTAAAGTTATAATAAAAATTACATATTTTAATTATGTGTCTATGGGTAGGTATGTTGTTTGTACACCTAAGCGCAGTGCCTGAAGAAACCAGAAGAGGGCATCAGGTCCCTAGGAGCTGGAATTAACAGTGTTGGTTGTAGCCACCAGACCTGAGTGCTGGGGCTGTACCTAGGTCCTATACAAGGGCAGCAAGTGCCATCCCTCCAGCCCGGCAGCATATGTCTTTTGAGATGAACTATCATCTGCGAGAGAAGGGAAGGACCCAGCGCATCTCAGCTGTAAGAATCCATGCAGTCAGTCCCAAGCTTGGAGAAGCCACCACAGGGCAGGCACTGTGAGATGAGCCCTGTTATCCCGGGAGTGGTGGAATCCCAAATAAACCCCCTAGCTTTGTCTCAGCTGGCTTTAAAAAACAAAAAAAAACACTAGTTTTGGAGGTCACATAGCTTGGCAGTTCATTAGTAGTCTTCCACTAGTTTGCTGTAGAGAAGACCTTTGCCATGTGTGCTAGGGAGACACAAGCCAGGGTCATCGGAGAAGAGGGAATCTCAACTGAGAAAATGCATCCATCACTCTGGCCTGTAGGCAGGTCTGTGTGTGTTTTCTTGATTATTGACTGATGTGGGAGGGCCCAGCCCACTCCAGGCGGCATCATCCCCAGGCAGGTGGCCCTGGATGGTACAAGAAATGTAACTGACCAGCCAGGCGGTGGTGCTGCACGCCTTTAATCCCAGCACTTGGGAGGCAGAGCCAGGTGGATCTCTGTGAGTTCAAGGCCAGCCTGGTCTACAGAGTGAGATCTAGGACAGGCACAAAGCTTACACAGAGAAACCCTGTCTCGAGAAACAAAACAAACAAACAAACAAACAAACAAAAAAAAAAAAGCCGGCAGTGGTGGCACACGCCTTTAATCCCAGCACTCAGGAGGCAGAGCCAGGCGGATCTCTGTGAGTTCCAGGCCAGCCTGGGCTATAGAGTGAGTTCCAGGAAAGGCGCAAAGCTATACAGAGAAATCCTGTCTCAAAAAACAAAAAAAAAAAAAGAAAGAAAGAAAGAAAGAAAGAGAGAAAGAAATAAAGAAATGTAACTGGGGGACTAGAGAGTTGGCTAAGTGGTTAAAAGTACTTACTGCTCTTGAAAAGGACATGGGGGGGGGTGATTCCTAGCACCCACATGGTGGCTCACACCCATCTGTAGCTCTGTAGCTCTAGTCCCAGGGGATCCAGTGCCCTATTCTGACCTTAGCAGGCACCAGACATGCATGTGGCGCCCAAACATACATGCAGGGAAAACACGCATACAACTGTTTTTTTTTTGTTGTTGTTGTTGTTTGTTTGATTTTTTGAGGGAGAGTTGAAGGCCAGCCTGGAGAAGAAGCAGCGTTCCTCCATGGTCTCTTCTTCCCTTCTTGCCTTAGTTCCTGTGCTGACGTCCCTCAGTGATGGAGTGTGATGCGGAAGTGTTGAACAACAACAAAACCTTCCCTTTCCCGAAGGCAACTAGCACACCACGTGAGTCGTGATGATAATTGTTGGCTGAACCACCTTTCAGGGACCCAACAGCCGCTTCAGCTGCTGACATTGAAACTTCACCTGGTCCTGTGTTTACTAGAACAGGTGAAAAGGGTTACCTCTCTGCCTTCATTCTGTGGCTTTCTCCTTTGTTGTCCTAACCTGCACTCAGA